AAAGGGCTCAGAAAATCACTCTGGATCCCTCACATCCAAGTTATCCCCTTTTTGAACTTTTGCCATCTGGCCGGCGCTTCAGAGCCGCAAATACCAGGACAGCCAGGCACAAGGCAATCTACCTCATGAACAGTTAAATGTTCCCGACATTATGCAATAAAAATGTGTAATAACCTTATATTTATTTGTTACCACCTCCATCCTAGTACATCCCTGCATTCTATTCTATTCCATTCTATCATCTATAGCACAACTGTACATACAATTTATTTATTTTTCCATTTATTTTTCAATACTTGTCTATTTATATTTACATATATGTATTATTTTTTTTTTTAATTCTCATCTTATTTTTTATTGTCTGTGTGTTGTTGTTGTCTTTGTGTACTGGAAGCTTATGTCACTAAAACAAATTCCTTGTATGCGCAAGCATACTTGGCAATAAAGCTCTTTCTGATTCTGATTAGGACATGTAGTGGTCCTTGCAAAACAGAGTCCTGATCATCAGGAGGGTCTTCATGTGTAGGCAGGTCATGCACAGTCTCGTCGATTCCAATAACAGGAAAGCCATCAACAGATTGTACTTTCTTCAGTGCTCCACCCATTCTGTTGAGGCACAAAAATCTGTAGTAAACTGACACCACACAAAAATTGCAAAGTAAGACTGACCATTAACACACCGTATAAAAATTGATGGAATATACTCTTCATCAGAGCTGAAACCATTCTGTCCATCATCTCTTTAAGGGAAGTAAGGAGAAGCTTCAACTGCCCAATCAATTCTGTACATAAGGAACATTTCCGATAAAAACAAGTTATCAAATATTATTACACGGCTCTGTGGAATACTTGATTCTGATTGGTCAGTCGCGACATTCCGAGGTATGTTATGTTTATCGATTTTCAGTGTGTATCTGTTATTCAAAGAGGGCTAATACGGGAAAGAAAATCTTTGTAAATCAATTTAAGATTTTCACACACAGGTGCTCCTTTATTAAAAGGCAATAGGTAGATTGTTAGGGGTTCAAGCACGAAGTGCTGAAACCCTATTGTAATTGTTAGGATTTTTAGGGGTTCAAGCACGCAGTGTTGAAACCCTGTATAAAACATTATAAAAAAAAAGTTAAAATTTAAACTCACCGTCGCTTAGGGACGCATAATCGTCTGTAAGGGACGGGGCCATTTTTACTAAAATGGCTATAACTCCTGAACGGACTGAGATATCTTCATCAAACTTGATACACATGTGTACAAGCTAAATCTTTGGTCAAATAAAAAAAAATTCGCAGTTCTGCCACTTGGTGGCGCTATAAGCCTAAAAAAGCCTAAAAATGACTATAACTATGCAACCGTTGGTCCGATCGACTTGAAAATTGGTATGCAGTGTCTTCGTCCAACGGGGCACAAGTGACTATGAGGACATTCGCGTATCTCAAAAAACATGGCCGCCATTGTCAAAACAAATGTAAGCACTGATTTGAAAGGGTTAACGGAGGTCGATCGGAACGAAACTCGGTGGGCATGTTCGACACATGGCCCTAAAGGTCTGTAAGAATTTTGAAAGAAATCGGCCACTGGGGGGCGAAATTGCGTTTTTCAAGTGCGTAAACGATTGTATATTGCGCGATTGTTCACACATCAACACAATATGCATACCATTTGATAGATCTTCTCATAACGAGTAACTTTGCCTCAAGAACCATTGCTGTCAATCAAATCGTTCATTAAATATTCTCAATTATGTTAAAAACCTACTTTTGCGAACTAGTCCTTGGTTTTTTGCTCAATCTTGATCAAACCACTGCAGCGCAATTCTCTGGACCCTCTAGATCAATAATTATCAAAAAAAAAAAAAATTTTGTCCTTCGCTTACTTTTTACCGGTGTCATTTAGAGAAAGGGCGTGGCCAAATATACCCAAATGCCTATAAAACGATAGTGATTATGAATAATTATAAAAAAAAGGTTGAGCTTTCAACTCACGGTTGCAAAGGGGCGCCAAAACGTTCGTAAGTGGCGGGGCCAATTTGATTAAAATGGCTATAACTTTTGAACGGAATGAGATATCTTCACCAAACTCGGCACACATGTGTATGAGCTCAATCTTTGGTCAAATAAAAAAATTGCGCAGCTCTGCCACTTTGTGGCGCTATAAGATGGAAAAAAACATAAAATATATTATAGTCACATTTCAGCACAAACTCCATACTGCCAATTTTAATAAAGATAATCTGGGGAAATGTAAACCAGATTTCATTACCATTAATATGAAATGATTTTAACCATTTATGTATTCAGACAATCAAATTAAAAAGTTGTAAAAACCCACCAATGTACAAATTCAAAATAAAATTTAATTTATTGCCCTGATATTCTGGAGAGAAACTGAGATGGAATAATGTGGATATACACATTGTGATAAGGATTTAGTTTTAGTTAATAAATTATGGTTAAAATAGCTAGATCTCTCTGCAACCACAAATTTAATTTTGATAGGCAAATTAAAAGTTTAAAATAAAAGATTTTTTCCCCAATCTTTTGTAACATGAAGACCAAGATACTTGACTTTATCTTTGATTGAGAATAGCACTTACACTTGCTTATATTTAGAAACTTTTGAAAAAAGCTTAGTGGTATTATTTAGTGATGTGACGTTCGACACCGAGGCTTCGAAACATCTCACAGTGAAGCACTGTACCGGAGCTTGATTCGTTTTGCCAAAACCATGTGATCTGTGACGTCCGAAGCTTCGTTTTCACACACAAACACGTGACTGCTTCGTATTCTGATTCAAATAACGCGAACCACTTGCACAAACTGATTTATAATCTGAAACAGTCCAAAAATGGCTGGGTCGTCTGGGACGCAAAGGCAGCTTTTTCCACCTTTTGACCACAAGATGTCGTTAGTGTGCACCGTCTTGAAAAGCTTCGAGTAATGAACCTTTTTACGATACAGTTGAGGGAAAGCCTCGGAAAAATGAAGCTTTGCGAAGCACCATCACTAGTATTATTAGCTTTGTGAATCTGCTATTCATGCCTTGAATTAATCCTTCATCATACCGTTTGAATGTGTTTTCTGTATGTGAATTTTCTATGATTTTTAGCATACACACAAGACTTTTATTTTGGTATGACGATGTGACGTCATAAGGCTGCGCCGCGCTCCTGCGTCTGTGATTCGGCTGAAGAAAGGTATGTGTTTATAATAAGTTAAAGTGTTCAAATCAAAGTAACCAGTTCAGACAATTTTATGACTTTATAAGCAATGTAAAACTGCTTAATTCATACTGAATATTAACATTTTAATGCTTTATATAACTTTAATTAACATTATTTTGTATGAATAACAGAAACGTTGCATCTCATTTCGCTCCCTGTATCGTGAATCTGTTTATCATAAACACGAATTCAGTCACTGGTAAGCAGTAATGGAGAAACTGAGCTTTTGAAACTTTTTCGAGTCAATTGAATCAATTACTTCTTTAAATGATTCACTGTTTTGAATCGCTCGAATCACTTGCTGCTCAAAACAGTGTAAATGCAACGAGAACAACCTTTACAAATCCAACAGCAGATGTTTTCATGAAAGTGGAATCTATTAAATTTAATCTACAAATCATTAAATGCCCAATGTAATTCATAACTAAACATTAAATGTATATATCATTTGTGTTTGTAGTTCTAGTTTTTAATGTTTTTTTTTAATCAGGTGATTTCAGGCCAGACTGACTCCCTTACCAGTGAGCTGACTACTGAACTAGGGAACTGATTGAGACGCACCCAAAGATTTAGTTTGCATTTATTTTTTCTTTCTGTTAATGTTAAACAGGACAAAGTGTCGAAACACAGAAACTCCTGCTGAATCAACTGAGATCCACGTGACACTATTATAAAGATGGTGTTTATTAAAGAGGAGAGTGAAGACATGAAGAATGAAGAAACATTCAGAGTCAAACATGAAGATACTGAGGAACAAACAAAGATGCTGTTTATTAAAGAGGAGAGTGAAGACATGAGGATTGAAGAAGCATTCAGAGTCAAACATGAAGATACTGAGGAACAAACAGGTTGGTTTTCATTCTCAAAGCTGAACTCATTTGATCCTTATTAAAATGTCCAGCTCTACAGAAATGAATGATATTTTTGAAGAAATAGAAAAATACTACAGAAGTAGTCTGAACAAAACAGTTATTTTGTATAACATTTAAACCCCAAAATCTACTTCTGGATTAAAAACAACGAAAACCATACATTTATATAACTTAATTATGCAACAATATCTAACAAACACTTTATTTTGCATTAAGTGAAATGTGAGTGATTACATTATGCTATTATACATTATTACATACGCTAACATACCTGAACATAAATACACTCCAAAATAAATAAATAAATAAAAATAAAACTTTTTGTCAATTGGGCTACTTCACACATTTATTAACATATTAGGTATTGGTTAAGTATTTTTTTAAAAATATTTATTAAGTTTATTAAACATTTATTAGGTAACTATTTATTTGAATAAATTGAAGTTAAAAACATTAACTTCAGTTTCCCTTAAAATTAATATTTTACCTTCAATCAAAATAAATAATTCTGTTTCATTGATGCGTTTATCGCAGCGCCTGAAAATAGTCCCCAGCATGCTCCCTGTGCAAGCAGGTGGTCACGTTGGTTATGTTGACGGAAGTTAGCCTATTTTCAGGCGCTGCGTAATATCATTGCGCCTGCTGCACCCATGGTACGGCAGCAAAGCTCCTTGATTATTACGCCGGAATGTGAGTATAGTTCCTAGCCATATCGGCCTAGAAAATCGCAACTTTTCATTTTCCGTCAGTCTTAGTACACGATGTAACTACAGAAGATTCAAGTTTTAAATAGGAAAAATATCAAAACTCTTTGGTCATTTTTGAGCTAGATGCTAACGATCTAATCAGATTCAATTATCTATGCTAAGCTACAGCTAAAAGTGCTACCGCCAGACCCGGAGATCGGCTGAATGGATTCGAAAACGGTAAAACTCAACTGTTTAACTCTAGGGGAGTTGGAAAATGAGCCTATTTTCAAAAATAGTGGAGTGTTCCTTTAAGTTTAGGTATTGGGTATGATTAGGGATATAGAATATGGTTGTTCAGAATATGTGCTTCATAAGTACTAATAAATAGCCAATACATTAGTAATATGTATGCTAATAAGCAGCTAGTAAATAGTGAGAATTGGTCCCTACACTAAAGTGTTACTCTTTTTTATTTATTTTTTTATATGAATTTTCAAACCTAAAATCAGCGAGCTTTTATTTTGGCGGTTTGCCGGCAAGTAAGTATATGCATTTCTGGTTTTAGCACTGCCAAGTGAATGAAATGTCACAGTTTTGCGTTTTGCTTTGAAACCAGCAGCACATAGCCTAGATTTATACTTTCAGTTCAAATGGAATCTTAAAGGGGTCATATGATGCTGCTAAAAAGAACATTATTTTGTGTATTTGGTGTAATGAAATGTGTTTATGCGGTTTAAGGTAAAAAAAAAACATTATTTTCCACATACTGTACATTATTGTTTCTCCTGTATGCCCCGCCTTCTGAAACGCGTCGATTTTTACAAAGCTCATCGGTCTGAAAAAGCGAGGTGTGTTGTGTTTGGCCGAATACCTCAAGCGTGAGACGGAAATGTTACGCCCCTTGCCATATTGACAGTTAGTCGATCTAAAATGGTGATTTTGCATTAACAGCTCTCAGACATGTCGATACGCAAATGAGTGGTCTGAACTTATTACCCAGCGCATTTTATTTATTTTAGTCATGCATGCGCACCTGCGCACCACTTATGTGCACCCCGTTTAGAACACATTATAACATAAGGTGGCGCTGCCTTGAAACTTATTGAGTACCATAAGGGCATGGTGCTGAATACACATAGTGAGTTTCATAATGATAAATTCAAAATTCAAAATGGCAGACGCCCAAATTGGCTGACATGGGGAAATTGAGTTCGACTCGGCATGCTCCACCAAATCTTAAGAGACCTGTTTGGTGACTTTTGGCCAAACCATTCAGAAGCTATAAGCAAAAAAAGAAATGTTCCATATCTCCTGACAATTAGGTGATGCTGTGCAGAAACTGTGCGGGTAGCCTTAGGTTATGGTTATTATAACACACACTAAGTTTGGTCTCAATATGCTAAAGTGTTGCGGAGATATAGCCTCATCCATTTTGGCGTGCTCTTTGTCAAATTCATTTGCATGTTTTTCAAGAACGGTTTGACTAATGTTTGACTAATATTGAGACTCTCCTTTATCTTTTGTCTCATTTCCACTGAGCGGTACGGTTCGGTACAGTGCAGTATGGTACGCAATTATTTCCGTTTCCACTGTCGGAAGTTGTGAATGGTACCAAAATAGTGAACCGTACCGTACCACTTTTTTGGTACCCTTCCGTTGGGGTACCTAGCATAGCAAAGGGTACCAAAAGGGTGGAGCTAAACTCACAGCAGAACGTTGATTGGTTGACTAGAATCGTCACTTTTGTGTGATACAAGGGGATAAAGCATCCTTTACTTGTTCCTCTCTGCTGTCCACGAGTGTTGGGCTTATTTACATCAGAGTGCACAAACACAAAAAAATATAACCGTGTAATTTATAATTTTATATTTTCACACAGACAATAGCCGTTTCTCAATATGCGTTCTTGTCTGTTCTTGTGGACTTGTGAAACATCATTGCCCAAAAACCCGCAAAATTTTCTAAATATTACTGTTATTGTGTCATGAAATGTAGTTTTAAGAGTTTTTCAGGCGAGAATGTGCTGACTTTGTAGCATACGTTTGACTGAACTGTTTGCTTTTGTGTTTATTTCCTCTTATATAAGCCTCTTATACTTTGTATTTATACTTTTATAATGGCTATTATTGTTCATTAAAACTGACATTTAACAAAAAGAGGCAGAGTTGTGCTTATTGTCGCGGTTCATCGTCGATCGCTACTTTCCGGCATACACCATGCCTACCAAGTAAGGGTACTATTGGCAGTGGAAACGCAAGCTGGATTAGGGTTATCCGTACCGAATCGTACTGTACTGTACTGTACCCCTCAGTGGAAATGAGCCATTTGTGCCAAAGTTCATAACTGCCTGGTCAGTGCCTGGATGGGAGACCTCCTGGGATAACTAGGTTCCTGCTTGAAGAAGTGTTAGTGAGACCAGCAGGGGGTGCTTACTCTGTGGTCTGTGTGGGCCCTAAAGCCCCAGTATAGTGATGGGGACACTGTCACTGAAGCACCATCCCTCAGCTTAGATGTTAAACTGAGGTCCTGACTCTCGGTGGTCATAAAAAATCCCTGGAAAGCAGCGCTTGTACGTCATCTATTCAGAATCTTTTTCTTTCAGCCAACCTTCTATGAGAAGCAAGAAGCCTATCAACAAGACTACTCACCGTGATCTACACGCTGCAGTCGACACGCCTTCTCTTCCCCTGCTGTGTTC